TAAATAAAACTCCACTTTGCTAATGAATGCGGAATCGAAACATTGATCTCAGCGTTCAGAAGTCTTGTCAGTTTCAACGAGTATTACGCCAATATCATTCCTAAGTATGTCAACATGCCCTTTGTGTCTAAGATGACCATCGACGTACTGCAAGAAGCCCTTTTGCTTTTCTTCAGCCTGTCGAATAACTGAGAAATAATTTAGAAGCTATCACCAAACCAAATTTCAGATAGCGGTTGGATAAGTAGGAGTCGACGAAGTCCATTAAAGGAGGCCGAATATCGAGGGCTTTAAATTTTACTAGAATACGTCTGCGCGTCATGATATCGAAGTAGACGACTATCACAATCTGTTCATTAACAGGAGGAGTAAATAGAGTAAGGGAGGCTAAGACACATGATTCAAGTACAGGTTCATTTACATTCATCCCCATAACGACCGTGTCCATGACCTCGGCTGCAGGCCCCTCATGTTTGCTGACAATGTCAAGTTGTGGAACGCCATATGATAGTACAACGACAGATTAGCGCTTCAAGAGAGCCCCAACCGACCCAGCAACTTGTGAGCTCGCTGGCTATTAAGTTTTAATGTGGGCAAATGCGTGATCCTGGGACTCTGAAGCAGAAGGTCCCGGTGAGGACTATGTCCCTTTTCGATACCTCCTAGATAGACAGCCCCTTTCACATGTTGAGGAACAGAAAGACTTCGGCGTCCTAAAAAAACTCCTTGCTTAAACCATCGTCACAGTATCTAACGGCGACTAAACGCACGATTTAGGTGTATTTGTGCTGAGGCGAGGATTTGGGTAGATTCATTAGGAGCTGTTCGGAAAAATCTACGATACATTCGTTCGGTTGCACTAAGAGTATGTCGTACAGTACTGCCAACTGTGGCCCAAGAAGGGTTATTAACGGTTGGAAAGAATACTGGCGACGGCTAAGAAGATGGTCAAGAGTCTCTGTCATCTGCCTTAGGAAACCGGATTAAATGAACTCAATCTGTTTCCTTCAAATTGCAAGCAACTTCGCAACGATTTCAGTCAAACCCACCACATTGTCAGGTGTCGTGAGCGCGTCCTAGAATTTGACGACTCTTTCAAATTGACTGGGGCGGACCATCTGCGTCGTCATCTTTTTAAACTGAAGAGAAAGCTGTCTGATGCGGACGTCCGACGGAACGCCTACTCGCAGAGGGCCATAGCTGCATGGAACGGACTCCCTGATGCGCTGGTTCTTTCCAAAACTGTTGAATCCTTTAAGTGCCAACTAGACGGTCATTTTCAGAGAAACAACTGCAAACATAATCACGATTGCGTTAGCGGTGAAAGGTTGCGCCTGGTTCACGCATACCAAAACCTAATGAAAAAATTGGTGTCCGTTTCCCAAACACTAGAATTTTAGACCTTTTAAACAGTCCTCCAGGAACTTCCGGAAAGATATTACATGTTACAGTTATTCACCTAGAGAACCATACAAATTGCGAACGGCCTCCAAACATATATTAAATCAACCAATACTTTCCCGGTGGCGACGTAACGGACGCATTTGAAGCAAATTTAAATGCCAACATTTCGGATATTTGAAAAAATTGTAGTGATCAATCCAGATTCATTTTTCAGTTGGATTTGCACTATGTTGGTGATAACATTCTGCTTACATCATGCGCCGCTATGCGGCTGTTGGTTGACCTCGAGAGAGGGTCCGAAAGGCACAACGGAGGGAGTTAGTTCTGTTAGAATTATCGTGAGCGTCCCCCTACCATTGTTTGCACTGTTAGCCACACGGTATTTAATCCTCACAATCCAGGATTTAAGTTAAGCGTTATGGGAATTTGTTTGGTTAAATTGTTTCTGTGGATCACCGTAGAATGACTTTGCGCCACTCGGAAATCGGTGCTTCTGCCCTAAACTAGGGATCCAGAATTAATTCCTTTGGCATTTGCGAACACTCTTGCATTTGAACTTCAGTGCAAGAAATCACGTTTTTGCCTCTCTCTATGCACATGGGGTCATGGTCATATAAGGGACAGGTTAAATTTGTGTGTCCCTATATTATGAAGCTTAAACTTCCGTATCATGAGCTTTCGTGTTTTTCATCCGCCACGTCTTTGTTTTATGAAGGTTTTTTAGGCACATGATTTTGATTTTCTCTAAGCGCGGTATTGAGACCGTTGTTCACTCTCTGACAGTAGGTTCTCCAGTTATCGTGGATTTGCCTTCTAAAAATAGCATCCTTGGTGTTGGGGACTACCATTTACAGTCGATAAACTGCCCGAAAAACGTCTCGTTCTTGACATAGATTCGAGTGACATTCTTCTATATATTTTCAAACGTCTGATCAATCACATGGCCTGCAGGCACTGATAAGCACTTGGTCTCTGCCCTAATAGCAAATATTAATATTACGCCATTTGGCGTAATTCCGGCGTTTCCTTGCTATTGTGATGGGGTATAGCTGCCATGGATTGACTGCCTACGTGCTGACACAGGGCCGCCATTATGCTACGATATCAATGTTACGTTGATGCCCACTAGAAAAAGCCTTCCTAGGGGAGCGAGATCGCATGTCGTGTGGATCACACATCGTTAAGGACATTAATGTGGCCTCCAATAATGTTGCAATTGGCCGTGCCCCATTGGTAGTCCACAATCAGGCAGGGTTCGAGTTGTCAGTTTTAACTACGAATGCATCCGTAGCAGCCCTCTGCAGCTCGCTAACCTTGCCTGCTGACTGCATGATTTTAGGTTTTTTGAGTTAGGTTCACTATTATGCCGAGCACAGGAGAGGATATCAGGGTTACGCGATGGAATAAACAGGATACCCTTCTGAGCTTAGTGTGATTTTCAGATTATCTATTCTGCCTCCCCACCTATCACTATTAGCCCCTCTGTTTGTAGGATAGTACGCCATTAGTGCCAGTAAACCTCACTTTCCGTGGACGGCACCACTAGCGTCTACTCAAGAATTTTAGTTAAAATATGATCTCCATTTTTCACAAACCCCACGAGCTTTATCACGTCGTCCGTCAGTTCCTCTTAAAAATTACACTTTCCAAGTGCGCTGTATACCCGTTAATTTCTGAGGACGCCCAGGGAGTTAACATGTCAACGACCGACATCATTACACACGATGCTCCAAATACACATCATGTGTCTGCCCACGTGGACATATAGGCTAGCTACCGCAGTCCCAATAGCGCTTTAGTTTCTCTGGGTTGTTCAATAATACCTACTTCGACAGACGGCAGTAAGCATCCTTCATAGCAGTCATGGGACTTAAAGTCATCTTCCCAATTTCCCCCAAGCCTCCCTCAAAAGCTTTTCACTACGTTGATGAACCGCTTGTTATTGAGACCTGACTCGTCCCTTCAAGTGCCTCTTCAACCGACCCAGTTAACTTCTAAAAGAAAATGAGGAGAATTCCTCCGCTAGTCACTGTCTGTCAACGTTTTAGGAGATGTGTATAATACTGTAAGCATCGTGCACCATCTTACCTACACCGTCTAAGTGTAGAAACGAGCTATGAAAGTGCTTAAGCGGACTACGACAATATGGCAGCTTCTCGGCGCTTTGAGTCCTGTATAACAGCAGCCTTATTGTGACGAACAGTTGCAAAAGTTTTTACTCATCGTGAAAAGCCATAAAACCAGTATATAACAAGGGCATAATTAAGTCCAGTGGTTTCCATCTGTAAAATTCCCCAGTATCTTTCGACTGTTATACAAATTCGCGCGAAAGGCGACTATTCAAGCACCCTGCCCATTTGGCCTCTCACTCTGCCCGCGCGAAGTGTCAATGCCCAGCATAAAGGGGACAGGCTATTACGTTTGCTTATGGACCGCGGACCAGAGGAACATTGCTTGAGTAGCTCGCGGCTCGCGCGGTTTTCATTTCTCGCGAGAATTTTGGTCTCGTCGAATTTAAAAGCTTGATCGGGTCCCGCCGGATGGGCCACAAATTGAGTGCTGCTGTCCATCTTGAATAATCCCTCGGTTTTTCCGACGTAGAAATTGCGTTCACCGATCAGGTTACTAGACATGCTCATTGTGTTGCGCCTTGAGCCCTCACTGGTAGTCGCATAACGACTTGTTATATATGCAGAAAAGGGTACCGACAAACATGACCATTTCTGATGTATTAGCCGTCGTCAGCCAGTCGTGTTCACCCTGCAGATCATACTGGCCTGAGATTTGGACTCAGCAACCGACAGTTGGATTAACGAGTAGATCAATCATGTCGGTGAACCCACAGGTGTCGGATCAAAGTTGCAACATCTAAAGTCACGAGTGTTGAAGGCATAGTCTCAACAGCTTACCAATCTCTGTCGACGTCTAACAGCAGTCTAGTATCCATTCTGGGCCACCTCGAATGTGTAAGCCTTGCACAATTAATAGTTTTGAGGAATGCACTAAATTCTCTTGGGTCGGACACTCCGAATCTCTTCTCATCGAAAGCGCTTAGTCCAGGTAACGAGCGGCTTATTGAACTGAGGAAGGAAGATAGAGAGAGAGATCGACAGACAGATGTCGTTTTTTATTTAAAAGAACAAGTGGTATAATGGTCAAAAGTTTGTACATTTTTAGTAGACCGTCTAGACTCGTGACTTCTCCATTTCTAGCCCCGAGGAATGCGAATACCTAAAGTGAATAACCGCCACCTTAAGGTGACAATCGCGGGGGTGCCGAATTTTGAAAACTACTCTATTTTCCTGGGTCTTTGCGGCGTTTAGGCGTCAGAGTTAGCTTAATCAGACAATCTTCAAACCCGTCTGCTTCTTTACTTGCCACTAGTTGATTTTTTTTGCAGGCCCCTCGCAGGCGACATTGCCACAATGGCGCAGGCACTCAGCGAAGGTTTTGCCGACTTATTGCTTAATAACCGAGGCAAAAAGAATCTCCGTTTGAGCTCATTCGTCTCATCGGCCTCACTGGTCCTTTCCTGGCCCTTTCCCCTTGTGATCCTATGCTTCCACACGAATCGATACGTCCCCCTGGACCCCCTTATGTATGGCAGCCTCTACATGGCCTTTCTCCTGTCGGGATTCTTCAAGCGTCTCTTTCTTCAACGTTTTGTCCCACCCAGCCTCTTCAATGCCCTCCTCCCAGCTGGCCTCTGTCTCATCAGCAACAGTGTCTTCCTGGCTGCCATCTATAATGGTGACTGGTCGTGGTCCAGCAATCTAATCCTTGTGCTCAGCCGTCTATGCTACGGCTGGTCGGTTTACTCCGGTGCTGACTTCACTCGTCGGGCCAACGTGGAGGCCAAGCGACGTGAAAATGTGCCTTTCACGTTGGAGGACAAAGTCGGCAACATTGCACCCGATCTGCAGGACAGTGCCTTTCATGCAGGTGTCCTCTTGGCTATCATTATTTGCCTCGTTCTCGAAGCCTGCTTTCGTCAATTTGGCGCTCAGATGGCTGAATTCTATTCTATGCTGATTCTGTTGGCATTCTCAACGGTGATGTCGTCGGTCAGTGTGCCGTGCATGTTTTCCACCATTAAAAATATCCTGCGTCCAGTGCAGCAACCCCCGGTGGAGGAAATACAAGAGGAGGAAGCTGATGGCCAGTTATCGCAATCGACCCAGGTGTGCTTAACTCTCTTTCTTGCCCTCATCGGTGTTAAGGTTTTCAACACACATGCTACTTAAACATGTTGAACTCTCGGTGTAGGCCTTAATATAGTCATATAGAGAGAGACGGAGACGCCGGGGGAGCTGCGTGCCCTGTGGGCAAGCATCTGCTGACCATCGGGTGTTAATATCGCCCCCCTCCCCCCTCCATGATTGGCTGATCATCAGTTAGCCAGGCTGATGATTGCAAAAACAAAATTACGCTATTTCACTGTGAATGTGGCTGGACGGTAAATGAGATTCCGCACGTCGAAAGAGCGAATGAGACGGGGCCCACTTTCCTGAGTCCTTGATGACGCAGTGTGGACCGCATTTGGCAGCGTCACTTTGGGCACTGCAGGTAAAGCAGTTCTGGGAGTACTCTGTGCATGCATATTGCAACTCGGATAGCAGAATCCGTTGACGAGGGTTGATATTTTCAGTTTTGCCTAAACGTTTTGAATGAAAATATCTGTCTAAGTACTGACTTACAATGTGTCCATGCATCAGGAAGCATGCATTAGGTAGCGTAACTCACGAAGCATTGTCTAAAATCATGGAATTTGATCTAGGCCAAGGTGGTTCTCTTATTTGGGGGTTGTAATACTGATTGTCACGCAAATCAATCGCCATATATCCCGGTCACGCAAAGATGCCAGTTTTTGAGTGCGTATCTCTTTCCGGCCGCCTGCAGAAATCGCAATCGCTAGAAAAGGACCACATAACTAATGTGATTTTTAACTAATGTTTGACGTCCTTATAGGTCCAAACATACTTTGTATAGAGCGTGCTCAAAATAACATTTCTAATACTCACTTTGTGGCAACTGAGGTCGAATGACGAAGGGTAGCTGCCAGTTTTAAAAGTTTACAATTATGAGTCTTTAACACTGTCAAATGGGTTTCCAGATAGCATTATATCTGCCTGTTTATTAATGCTCCTTCTAAGGTACGCTACATGGTCCATGTTCGGTTCACAACTTTATGAGTCCTGTATGGGACAGTTTTAATAGCATAGAGGAATACGTAATATTCCTTAAGAGGAAAGTGTACAGTCTGCATCTCGGAAACCGTAAATGTTATTTCATGTCCCAAAGTTGACGAACCTATTGGAGTGCTCTTAACCTGTTGGTAGTACCCTTTATCGAATCGGCAGTCGTTGCTGAGGCAAAGCTCAAGGATTTCTAAGACGTGTGGTATTGGAATGTCGGTGGGATTGTCTTGCAGGCGTCGGGCCACGTTCTCAATGACAAGGAGGAAAACAAGGCGACCATATCAAATGATAGAATGCTTTCAGTGGGACTTGCTGTAAGACCTTGGATCTTTTCAGGGAATGTCTGGGAGTTTGTGATGCTGTATTGTGATTTATCAGCGAGGTGCTTCAGATGTCTGTATAATCATTTGGCTAAGTTATAAGTGGGCGATCCAATGAGTGGCACTATCATCCTCAATGGCGCATCCTGTTTGGGCACCTTTGGAAGGCCATATGCATGTGCGATGCGTGGGTCACTGAGAGTCATGAATCTGGAGTCATTGGGATGTATCAGTTTTAGTCGAGCGAGTTCGTTTACCTTCTTCTTTACAGCTGCAACCTGCTTTTTCGCTGGGTCCTCAATGAGTGGTGCGTAGGCTTCTCTGGCATTAAAGACTTGGTTTGCTTTTTGCACGTTATCGGTCTTGTCGATGATGACGGTTGCGCCACCTTTGTCAGCAGGTAAAACTACAATACTGCTATCAGTCTTCAGGGTTCGCAACCCCTTTTCTTCATCGATGGTTAAGTTTCGGTGACGTTTCCTCTGTCAAAGAGGACCACTGGCACAACTGCGTATGTCCACATGCACGTCTTCGAGGATAGCAGAAGTCAGTAGGAAGGATTCGGAACTTGCTAGGAAATTTGTAGGTGCAGCATCGGTATGATTAAATTTAAGTCCTTTAGACGGTAGGCTTATTTCGGCGAGTGTTAGACTCTTTTTCGAAAGGTTACCAACTCTCTCAGATGCGTTACACTCGTTGATAGGGCAAAAAAGAAATTGCTGTTTTTCTCTTGAAAATTCACGAGTACATCTCGATTTTCTGACGAGCCTTCTCCTTTTCAGATAGCGTTATGTCTGCCTGTTTATTGATACCCCATGACCCATGTCCGGTTGACAATTTTATGAGTCCTGTATGGGACGGTTTTCATAGCATAGGGAAATACGTACAGTCTACATTTTGGAAACCGTAAATGCAAGTGCAGCTGCAGGCCAGGTGCAAAATTATTTGACAATTAATAGTACTTTTTTAAAACTGGGAGATACCGTTCCGTTGGACGCAGACTTCGGATATTACGTAATACAATACAAAAAGTGGATCCAGAAAAAAGCCATTTTATCCACGCTTTCTATAGAATATGTTTAAATTTATAAGAGCATCACAAATCGACCGGAAAGATGCACATTCTGAGGTCGGCATCCTTGCGTGATTTGAACATATCTGCGGGTTATATTTCATGCTTATCGGTGTTACGACCCCACCTTTTTTCTAACCTATGTCATATTTCAGAATTTTGTTTAACGTTTAACTTCTGCCTTTAGCCTTGGCCCTCCGTGTACGCTTCTTTTCGCGTCACTATTGTTGCTGGTCATTGTGCGCTGTGGACCAGGGGGGGGGGTGTGACTACACGTCTAGGGGCTGCTGCTGCCGCGCCAGCTACCTGCGTGTTCTCCCACCTCCGGTCATCTTGTCTGCCTTGACACGGCGCCCAGGTGGGGTGGAGGAAGAGTGCGTTAGATGCTGCGCAAGTCTACTACGCGCTAGTCACCGTGCCTGCTCTCACTCCACTGTAGAGCACACGGTGGACATCACCGGTCACGATGTTCGAACTGTCGTGTATACACATCGGCCATAGAGACAAAGATGCGCTTCTCCTGACAGGAATGAAGAGAAGGAGAAACAGCGACCTCAGGAACCGAAAGTTCTTTAGGCTGACGTTTGGAAAGCTAGTAAATCTTGATCGTTGAATGACAGAGTGATATCGCGCTTCAGTATGTGACACTGTTCATGGTCGTACTGGCTGGCGAGTGTGCCCTCACTTACATCGACCGTGGGAGGTAACCGGGGGGTCGTCTTCTGTCCAAGAACTTTTGGCTCCCCATTTGGGATGCAAACTACCTATCACCACCGTAAGTTCCCGTTTTCTTATCATCTGCCACTGCTTGCCTAGATCCGCCCCGCGCCCCAAGTCCGCAGTCTCACCCTTCGTGATCGCTTCCTTGTGCCAACTCTTCTTTACGCTGTCGGATCACGTCTTTATCCACCGGGCCAGATGATCCTCACTCTCTTCAGTGGCCTGCTTACATCCGCCACAATCATCGCCGACTACCTGCTACTTCCTCTAACTCTGGTCTACCTGAGGGTTGACTTCATCAGTCCGCGTCTGTTCCCCTTCTGTGAGATCTTCCTGCTTTATGGCCTTCTCTTCGGCACCGAATCCCTGACCAACTTCCTTGTACTGCGCTACACCAGATGGTCCGCTCGACTGACTCCCCTCAGCGTGAACGCCTTGTCAGCGGCCCTCCTGGTTGTTGCGCTGCTCTGTTGTCTCTGCCCCAGCTTTGTCTTTCTCGTCATTATCTCCATCAACGTCTCCTCGGGACTTTTTATCTTCTCCTTCTGCCTCTTCTGTCTGGTGAGTGGGCTGCTCAAGTCAGCACACACTATCCTCTCGGGGGTGTTGTTTGCCAAGTACCACGACGCCTGCCCCTATCTGGCCGTCGTGCAGACAAGCGAACAGTTGGTGGGTCTTGTGCGCTCTCTCTTCTCAGCCTTCCTCATCCTGATTGCGGCGGCTGTTCTCTACACACAGGTACGCGGCTGCCCCCGATGTCTTCCTTTAACTCTCCCTCTCCCTCTCATCGTTTTCTTAGCGGAGATATATGGTGCGGAAATGGGTGAAACATCTATCACGGCCGAGAGTGAGACTCTGGCTACCACGACCTTCAGGCTCGGTCCCGAATGGAAAGAGAGGGCGAACCCCAGTGGGAAGGATAATATATTCTGTACAGATTAACTGCAGAAGCAGTTGGAGGTAGCTGGCAGTCGGACATGGGCACTCCGGGTGCCGTCTGAGCAGCGTCCCAAGTGTCCGAGGGAATGCGTCACGATGTCTTAAGCCAGGACTCGTTTGACTCGGTTAATTGGCCAGCTGAGAGCCGAGTGGGTGAATGCTAGACAACCCTGGCTTCCTGCCCACAGCTGCGCAGTTCATTCCTCCCTAAACAGCCAAGCTGACCCATCAGCATTTCGCTTGCCTAGTTGTCTCGCCAATAGCAGGCGGTAGGTTAGCCCAGAGTTCCGGTTGTCTTCTCAACTTCATCACCTCGAATTCTAGTATTAAGGCTAAACATAGGGGTTAGGACACGGGAATACGTACTCCTCCTGGAAGTTTGCACAAGGCCATCCCTATTGCCGGGAGGGGTTCCAATTCCCTTGTCTTGTCTGCTGATCTTTCGATTCATGCAGCTCTTCCATAGTTGTCTCTCGATTTTTAATTGCCAGGATATTCCCCCATAATCTTGATTGTCAACAAACCTCAACAAATCTCAAATATTTCTGCGGAAAGTTCGAATACTCTGTTTTTTGAACCTATTTTGTTTTTTTAAAACACCTTCAAGCAACCTACAATGGTCACAAGGCCGCATTAATCCTTCTCTTGAAAATTGCTCAACTACACATAAGCGTTGTAAATAGTTTTTAAAATATAATTTAGCTCTCTTACGGTGGCTGGGAAACCATCACCAGAATGGTCAGAATGACTCAACAAGTGGTTAGTTGGGGCTTTTCTATATTTGCCCTGAATTTCAGCCTTCGTTGTGTCAGTTAACGCTTAACCACCTAGACCCGGACTCGATTTCCAACTATGAAATTAGAGAATGCTCGGGTGACAGCGATGATGATGATGGTGGTGGTGGTGGTGATGATGATGATGATGATGATGATGATGATGATGATGATGATGATGATGGTGGTGGTGGTGGTGGTGGTCGTAGTAGTAGTAGTGATGATGATGGTGGTGGTGGTGGTGATGATGATGATGATGATGATGATGATGATGTTGTCAAACAAGCGTTCGTTGTTCTCTGTACTTTTGCTGACTAATGCCTTCTGGTCATGTCATATAGTTTAAGCATGCACATCTGTCAGCGCGCTTCTCACTCTCTCTCCCTCTCCCTCTCTCTCTCTCTCTCTCTCGCTACAGGGCTTCTTCGCCCTCATGCTGACGGTGGTTACCATACACTGTATGGCCCTTGCTGTCGGCCTTATGGCCATCATCATCAACCTCTCTAAGGAGAGGGCCCTCCGCCCCTCGGTTGAACTGGTGGACTAGATGCTGTCCCCCCCCCCCTTTACCCTGCAGTCCACATCTAGCGCCTACCCGGTGACCCTGCAGCACTTCCTCTGCCCTGACACCTGGTTGGAGGATTATCCTGAAGCTTTTTTGAAGAAATTCGTTCATGCCTTCTTGCATCAACATCATTTTTTTCTAGTACCTTTTATCTCTGTCTGATGACGTACTGCTTTCATCGGTCCAAAGATCTACGAGTAAAGTTTCAAGTTCCTAAGGACCTGCTTTTTCTTCGAAACCACCCCAGTGTACCTACTGCCTCAGAGCTGCCTTTGTCTTATCCCCTGGATGTTCAAATTACTCTTACAGCATGAAGTCATAGATGCTGGAAGTGTACATTGGTGGTTTCTAAATAGACGTACATGTGGCGTTAGACCTAAAACGGCGCCAGGAATGACAGTTCGACCGTCTCGAGCGACGGCTTCCGCCGGGTGTGTCACTGGGTGGACACAGCACCGATTACTTGCGCGTAAATTAGTTGATGGGGGGCGGACTTGTGTAGCGTCTACTGCACTCGGCCGCCGCACTCGCCGAGCATCGATGACAAGACGATCGAAATGTGAAATCGGTTGCAGTAGTTGATAAAGCTAGACAGCTCGTCTTCTCGGGTCTAGTCTCCAGGCAAGCTTTTCACATAATGAGAGTGGCTCAAATCTCAAATTCATGAGAGTGTTTCTGAACCTGACTCCGAGCCCTCGGGTCGGCCACATCAAATACAGCACAAGCCGCAAGCGCTGAGTTATCCAGTCACGTTGCGGCCTTCTAAACGACGACTTAGCTTGCCGCGGTAGTTTAAAAGCGCGTCCGGTTTATTGAGGTAGGGGATGCGCCGATGTGCCATAGGAATGAGTTCTCCGGGGTCGACCTCACTTCCCTCATGCATCAGTCAACTGTCCGGGACTGTCAGCCATCTGCTGCTGGGATCGGGCGCTGACTGACTTGTGAAGCATCTATCGCACCCTGCCGCCGACCTCGCCAAGTACCGATTGCAAGACGAGGTGCAATCGGCTGCAATGGTTGATGAGGCTAAACGGGCCGCCTTCGCGGGCTGGTCCGCGGGCAATGCACCACCTTTTCGCAGAATTATGGGTGGCTCGTATCTCACGTTTGTGAGAGGGCAATTTAACCTCACTCGAAGTCCTCGGGCCAGCCACATCGCATACAGCACTAGCCGTAAGCGTCCAGTTATTCAGTTATGTGGGGGCTTTCAAAACGATGACTTAGCCTGCAGCGGTAGCTTAGAAATGTGTCCGATTTGTTGAAGTGGGAGATGCGCTGATGTGCCGTAGGAATGAGATCCCCAGGACTGACCCCCACTTCCCCTAGGTCTCATATCCGGGCCCGCCTGTCATCTGCTGTTGGGATAGGGCGTTGGCTGACGAAGCCGGATCGGTCCGTCTGCGTGTGCCACACACGAGCCACCCAGGCATCAGGTTGCGCCGAAGGACATGTTTTTCGCTGACGCTGGAGGCTTATGTTCTATGTGTTGGGTTTTATGGTACTAGTTCATGTGTGGTGTATGGGCTGGTGAGGTAAGGTCTGCAGTGTTTTACTGCAGGTTTTCATTAAGTCGCATATGACTGAGTAGGCCCATACTATGGTAAATTATCCTTGAGCGGGCGCCACGGGTGGATATTGGGGCTCCTGACGCTGGAGCATGAGTCCTGGTGTGCTGGATTCGCAGGTGTCCGACCAGGCCAACGCGTGACACAGATGTGTGGTTGCAGTAAGGACAGAATAAGACTGTGGCTAGTGAGATGGCGATGGTGTCGGCTGTAGAAGTGTTTCCAGTTGTAGGTAGTTTTGTCGCGATGACGCGATGGGCCCCGTCGTCATAGATACGCGTATGGCCAATTAGGCCCATGTGGTGTTCGACCGTCCTGTAAGTAGATGCGCGTGATGGGTGTATGATGGAGCTACAGATACTGGCTCGCCGGTCCAGCGCCATGACTTCGAGGATGATCGCCTAGGCCTATACGTGGGGAGGAATTTCGGTTGCGATGGTTCCAGATTGGCATTGAGTCCGTATTGCTGACTGTAATTGCAGTGGTGGTAACGTTCTGCAGGTCGATACGAGTGTCCTGTCCGGTGCTGGTGTTTTGTGATTTGGGCGGCGGATTAGTAGTGTTGACATTGCATGGTGTCTGTAGATGTTCAACGAGACCCGTCAGCAGTGTTTGGGTGCTGGCGTCATTGGTTCGCAGCATTTGCGTCTTGCGGGTCGCCCCTTTTGCCTTGGCAGCGGCTGTGGAAGATGACTGTTCCAGTCTCTACAGCAGTGCGCCATGCCTCCTGATAATGAACGAGATCCTCCCAGATCTCTGGATTGGTTTTTAAGTTCTGAAAGTTTACTTGTAGCGACGCTTTTGCCCCCCCCCCTGCTCCAGTTACGTCATACAATATTTGTTTGGGCAGACGTTCTTCGTCCATCATCACGAGTTGGCCGCTCCGTCGCGGTTATATCTGCCCCAGTATGGAACGGATACTGAGGACTCCGGCTTTCACCAGGTTCTCTGTGTCCTGTCATTTCATCTTCAGTAGTCATCGGAGGCAGCTGGGGCAAACATTGTCGAGTCTTCTCCCCTCGTTTTCATAAGCAGTCAGCACCTTCGTTCTGCACAGGATCGTTGTCAGGACAATAGTCGCGTATATTCTCAGTTCTGGGTTAAGTAGGATGCCGCGACAGTTTCAGACGATGTGATTCAGCCGGTCGAAGACCTGACTGGCTTTGGTGGTCCGTCATGCGATCTGGTTGTCGATGCTGATGTTTCTCGAAATTGCACTCAAGGCACACGAATTTATCCGACGCTGTGAAATGACAGTGCTACGAGGTTCGATGTAGTCAGCATTTGGCACCGGTTGGTGCATGACCACTGGCCCCTCCGGTTAGGCCGAAGTTGGAGCAGCCGGAGACAACAAGTTTCGCACTCCGCTGCACGCCCTCTTCCATTGTGGTGTTTGACGAGCAGTAGGTCCCGATTACCGTCCTTGGATATCCTTAAAGATGCTCTCAGTCGATTGATGTTGAAGTCTTCCTTTGGGTCAGTAGTTGACGTCGATCGAAGGCCACATCTCACGACAGGCGACCATCAGAATGGCGAAGATTATGAGACGAAATAGGGGGGGAGCTAGTACACGACCACACTTTACCCCACCCGTCCGTGGCACGATCGATCATTCCGGCCATTAAGGTGTCCTACCGACTTGTTGCATAATTTTCCGGAGTCCATCGCGATCCAATTTGTCGAAGGCATTTGTCGGATCGAATAAGGTGTTGTAGAGGTTGGCCCACATTTCCTTGCAATTTCTGAAATAAGCGGGTTACAAAGGTCGTGTTTAAACGTCCGCGGTGTTTTCGAAATCCACTGTGTTTCCGGAAGAAGTCTCGGCTCCGAATATGCGCCCAGGCGAGTGAGTAAAGCACGGACGAAGATTTTTCCTTCGATTTTGAGAAGGGAGATACCTCAGTGGTTATCACATATATGCCGGTTCCCCTTGGGTTTGTAGATGTGCACGATTGTGGCAGCCTTGAAGTCTTGGCGAATATGTCCCTACTGTCATATCTCATGGAGTACCGAGGCAGACTTTTCCATGGATTGTGGGTTGCTGCATTTATAGACGTCAGCTGGAATCGTGTTTGCTCCCGACGCTTTTCCACTGGACAGCTGTTTCTCTTCCCTGATTTTCCCAATGAGGAAGGGCAGACGATCGAGGTCGTCGTTGGCGTCCACTTGAGGAAGTCGGCTGATGGCTTCTTCGCTACTTAGCTACTGAGGTCGCTCTGCACGTGCGCGGCCCTACACTGCAGAATCTATGACTTTTTAGTCAGATCGGGTTGCTCCATCCTGGTTCAGCAGTGGCACGATTCCCTCGATTTTTTGGACCGTGGACTGTTTCTATGACAGCGGGGAAATTATTCATCTCGCCAGGGTCGGCCTATGCCTGGATCTCCTCAGCTTTGCAAATCAACCAGTCTCTTTGCGCTTCCCTCAGCCTCAGCGCCGACACTGGAAGTGCGCAATTTCACTAACGCTGCTGCCGCTGAGGATGTAGGTCTTGTGTAGACTGCTTTCCTCGGAAAGGGCAAGGCGCAAGTCTTCGTCCTTGTCACCAGTGCATTTCTGACGCTAACGACGTGCGTGACTGGGAGCGGTGGTCTGAACTGGATGCTACAGCTGCCTCCGCTGGGTTCAAACACCAGTATGCGCCTCCAGAGGTCTTATTTCTTCAGGTTCGGAGTTCATGAAACTGCTAGAATTCAATCACCGTCTGGCCCTATCTAACAGTTTAGTGTTTGACTTATCCGACGGTAACCTGCCTTGCAGTCACCTGTCTGGTCCCAGCTGGAGCCTCGACGACGAGGCGGTGATCGGCCCAGCGGTCGACACCACACATCGTCTTAATCCTGGACATGTTACACTGGACAGGCCTCTGAAGTAGGACGTAGTCCAACGGATGCCGGTGACGCGATCGAGGGTGCATCTACGCCTTCGTATCTTGAATCGGAAGGCGTTGGAAGGTCTTAGTCGAAAAAAGATTGTGTTCCGCACAGGTCTGCAAGTGGAGAAAGCCACCGCTGTTGCAGCCGCCTCTCCCACAGCGACCTAACACTCCCTTCCAAGCAGTATGCCCCCTGCCGACGCGGGCATTGAGGCAGCAGGAGATGCGATCACTGGAACAAGAAATTTATTGGCCTGACGTTTCGGATTCTCGCTCGAACCTTCGTCATCAGAGACGGTCGCAGATAGGGGTAGTAAATGGCTCGAAGCTGGGGTGGCGATGGTGTAACTGCGTTCTGGTGAAGACGGCCGGTGTCCCTTCCTCTCACTACCGCCGACACCCCCCCCCTCACAACGTACCGCCGTTTTTGTCGTTCGCTCTCTCTCTCTCGCTCTACGTAGGCTCCCCTCTCGGCCCTTCCCTGCAGTTGCCCACAGCGTTGCATCCTCACCGGTTGTTAAGCTCGCACGTCAGAGTCGCCT